TATTTTATTATTCAGGGATCATAGCGTACATTATTGTCAAAATTTTTGAACAGCGTTTTTTGGTGGAGTTTATGTCTGTCCGAATAATTTCATTTTTGAAATTATGGAAGCTAAAAAATGAGGACTTTCCATTTTATCTCGACAACATTTGCACGTCTACGTATTTCGAGTGGTTTCTCAATTCCCTTCTTTTGGCCTTTAGAAAAATGAGGTCGCATCGAAGCATCAGATCCTGGCAGATCTAAATTCGACATTTGGTGGGAAATCTGCCAAGTGCAGGATGTATGCTACCTAGCCACCGTGTTTTGTCTCTTTCTGTTGCCATAGAAAATGTCCTTCATTGTGCCCGCTTTGCTAAGGTACAGGCTATCACATGTTGGCGGATAGTACCGTCAGAAGAAAGAGGCGATCACTCCCCTCCCTCTATTTTGCACAGGTGATCTCTATTTGTAAAGTTAACAGAAAAAGAAAACTGAATAGACTCACCCCTGGACAAACAAAAAAGGCGCACATGACTCGACACATCTCTTACAAGTTTTCTAGCTTTTGAAGCTGCTCTTGTAGGATTTAAACTATCACTCCGTAGAAAAAAAAAATATTGAACAAGGGGTAAAGGTTTGAAAAGGAAGAAAGGGAGTAGGGAGAATCTCTTCCAGAAGAGAAAGAGGTGTACTTCGGCCTGAAAATAACTGTGTGAGCCAATCACGATTTTTTCCAATTATTGGCTACGGAAAGAGCGCTGTTTCTTTGGGGAAAAAATACTAGCTGTAGTCTATGTTTAAGAGATACTTCTTTAACAATTGGACTTTTCGTGTTTGTGGCTCGTTTTCAAATCAGTTTGTACATTTCTTCTGTTCCTTTTCAGTTTTATTTTTTCACGGCGACTTAATCTTTTGACTCTTAATTTTAGCTGAGAAAACAGATAAATTTAGCGATTTTATAGCCCAACGCAAGCTCTTTTTAGTTGTGCTGTACAAAATTTCAAGGGTTAAAACACATGACGGACGGTCTGTATCCACATGAACGTAGCTTCATTGTCTTCTCGTGTTATTCTTCTCACCAACCCCTGCACTCCACCGCGCTCCTAATTCTCCTCACCCTTTCAGTCTAAATTTTTAAACAACAAATTATCCTATTTCTTACCGACTCAGTCAGCAGAATTGCTGAAGCCAGAAAAAGCGGTGACAAAAACCGAAATGTAGAGTGCCTATTCGTACTTCTATTTGCTGTTGCGCGATTCCGGTATCTTTTTCCACCTGTTCCAGCTGCTTGCTTGCTCGTGGAATAAGCTTCTTGAAATGGGGTTATTGAATTCGTCTTTTGCGCCAATAAGATTTTGCTGACGTTAAAATCAATGAAAGAAGAACTTATTCCTACCGCTTATTATTGAAGGGTTTAAAGTTAAGTTTTTAGGGTGGTACTTTAATTCTTCATTTGCTGATAAATGTCAAGGATTTTCCTCATTTCTGCGCAAGTAACATTTTCCGGGAATACCGCATGAAAAAAAGCACGATATAAGCAAATTGTACTACGGGCTGGAATGAAAATGTATGGACTGGTCGCGTTGCATGTGATTTTAATTAAGAAGCGAAGCAAAGAGTATGAATACTTGGAAGAATTTTCGCTACATGTGCAACCAGTGGACAGTTGGCGAAGTGAGGGCGAAAGAAATTTGAAGAACAAGCGCAATTTCAATCGGAGCAGCTGGCAGATTGTTCCACATCAAATAGCTATGGTCCACTGAAAGATCCAAAGAGTTCAAAGTAAAAGAAAGAGGAACAAAGCACGTTCGAGCAATAAGAATGGACGTGTATTATTTCGCTTGTATGTATCGGTCAAGGAAACGTTGTTAAGTTACATCTTTACAAAAAGTATTTTTTGGTGCATTGTTTGCATGACTGCTTCTGTCGTATAAAAAGATGGCGGAATGAGACGCACGAAGAGACATTTCAATTTATTTAGCAGTTTAGTAACTCATTCAAAACTGCCTGCCAGATTTCTTCGCAGAACATCAAATGACATGGGAACCCATCGCAAATATTACGAAGCAGGAGGTTGTAGCATATGCTGCTATCGAAGGATGTGCTGTAGCCTTTGTGGTGAAAGGGGGAGGGGGGAAGGGGAGGGTGTGGAGAGTGCGAAAGATTTTCTGCAGTTTCAGATATATTTGGGACAGCTATCAATTTTCAGTATGTCTTTTCCGTCCGGAACGCGATAACCTGTAGCGATTGGCATAACCTGTAGCGATTTACACTTCTTAGGTCAAATCACCCCATCTAACACATTTAAAACTTTGTTATGTTTAAGTGGAAGGCACTTAATTCATTTTGCGGAACACGGTTTTTGACACGTTTCAGTTCGCTCTTATGTCTGGCTAATTCCTGAAAGGAAAGTGGGCTGTAAACACGAAGTCATTTTTTTTAAAAAGGCGAACGGAGAAAATCGGTCCAAAGACCGGAATACTGCTGCATGCTGCAATGCAGCATGCAGTATGTGGATGGAACAGCCAAACAGTTGCTCCAGTATTTGATGTAGCACGACTGGCTACAACACTGGATGCGTAGGGCAGGGCAATCTAGATCATCGTAGGTCAGCAATCTAGGTCCATTGTCAGCGCGGATGGTAACAATGTTCGGGGTCCGGGCATAGGCAGAAGCAGTGGAGTGTGCGGCGCGGGATGGTCAAGATAGAACGGAATCCACGGAGGAATTACTGCCCAGACAGTCGAAGGAAAGGTAATCACCAGCCAGTCGCGTAGGTATATAAAGGAAAACGCGCGCTGCATCTTTCTTGTTTTATTTGCCGTTCTTTTGGGGCAGCGTGCGGCTGCTTTCCATCTCTTCGTTTGTTTCTAAGTCATTTTTTCGACTCCGGGAAGTGTTTCTGGATCTGTTTTAGTGGCTTGCTGCATCGGGCTAGTTTATGGCTCCAGTGTTTTATAGATGATGGTTGGGAGATGATGCGGCAGGCAGTGTTGAGGGTAATCGGTTCCTGGTGGTGGTGGTGCACTTGGGCTCGTTCTCACTGGACACGAGGGGCTTCATATCTTACGTTTCTGTGTTCCCGAATCGACTCAGTTAGTGTTCCACACGTCTGAGTTCCCTTTGGTGCTTCGCCAACGCGCAATAAAGCAGTTGGCTGAAAATGCAGATTTCGAAACGCCAATGTTTCCTCTTCGCTTCCCACACACTTCCCACCGCCACAAACACAAACAGTCGTGTGTATTTGTTTGTGTCTGCCTGTCTGCCCAAATATTTAACTCGGCAACCAGTCAAGCTTTGACATTGAAATTTTGCTGCTGGGCCAGCTTTGCGTGGTTCTTACGTACAGGCATATGGAAGTTTTGGTGGGGAGCTTGCTAATTCACAAACCAAAAAAGTCAAAAAGCTGGAAGGTGATGTTCTGTTTACGTGCAACTTGAAGATTCCAGTTTCAGTTTTTAAGTACGGGCCGCTGACTTGAGAACCAGGCAGGTTAGGGGGCTGAAGCTTTGGGAAAACGTCCTCTGTTTACATGCGATCTAAAGATTTCGAATTCGGTTCCCAAGAAACGCGTACGGACATATGAAATTTTTGGTGAGAAAATTGCCAACTGACGGGAAACTGGAAAACTGAAATTTACGAGCATGTTTCCCGTTCACGTGTCCTAGCTCCAACCAAGATCTTCCCAACCAGCAACTTAATCACCACCCCGAGTCTTCATCCTCCTACTCTCTCTTCCCCTCTCCCACCCCACCCAATCCCCCCGCTCTCCCGAACCTTCCTGCCAATCTGGCCGAGTCGAGTCTTAGTAGCTGCTTTGCAGGGCTTTTCCACCGCATTTGGTGAGTCATCGGTTCGGTCGCCGTAATTGTGTCGTAGGGCCATGCGAAATTCCAACTTTCTGTTACATCGCACTTACGGAAATGTGGACCATGTAACTGGAGCTGCAAAACTGGTACCCACTTCGCATTGCAAGCGGGCAGTTTAGAAGATAATTTTTTATGAGCATGCTTCCCGACCATGTGCATGTGCTGAAGCTTGGAGCCAACTGCTGAAGCTTGGAACCCACTCGCTGAAGCTTAGAGTCCACTCGGAACCAAAGCGAATCTTTATTCGTGAGTCTTCTGGGGAATCTTTATCTTTCCTCTGTCGGTGAAGTACTGCCGATTCATACCTTTAGAATACTTCGCACCACACGAAGGAGAAAAGTCTTTGAAGGGAAGCAGCAGAGAGATATGCCGGGATAAGAGATTAAGCAGAACTGGATCAGCTCTTCACCTGGTCAGCTAATA